CATGGTACAATGCCATAGAGACCACCTTCCAAAGCAGCCATTTTCTCCAGGGGGAGCTGATCTCTGTCAGCAGGAGATCAGTTGTAAAAGCGGGAGATCCCCAGGCCCCACCTGGAGGCTGGCAACCCTAAAAATCCCCTAAATGCTCCTGGGAATGAAGGAGGTTTATGGGGAGCACAGTGGCTAACAGAATGAGCTGTGACCCTTTGGATTTTATCCGCAACAGTCAAGGTGAAAAATAGCTGGCACAGTGAAGGAAGGTGTTAACTGAAGGGGTCATCTCGCTTTAGGGTTGACAGGTCCCCCCCTCCGGTAGGGGCTGGGTGGGCTGGGTTGGCAGATCCAGGCTGGGGAATTCCTGGAGATTTGGGGGTGGAACCTGGTGACGGGGAGGGACCTCAGTGAGGTCCAATGCCACAGAGTCCAACCTCCACAGCATCCCTCTTCTCCAGGGGGACCGATCTCTGCGGTCTGGAGATGAGCTGTAATTCCAGGGGATCCCCAGGTCCCACCTGGAGGCTGGCATCCCTGTCTCACTTGTCGCTCTTCCTCCACAGGAGCAGTACTCAGAGGAGGCGTGCAACTTCCGTGAGACGGTTTTGAATTTGAATAGCTGCTGCCTGACCTCTGCTGGGGGAGGCCTCTATTTAAGGAAGCACCTTGCCAGAGGCAGAGGAGACCAGCTGAGCTCTGAGCAGGAGCAGGAGAGAGAGCTGTGAGAGAGGTGAGTGGGTTTCTTTTACTTGCTTTCAGCTGAGAGAATTCAGCTAAGGATATTTTGTGGGAAAACTGTGTTTAGCAGTGTGTGGAAGCACTTAGAGTTCTTGCAGAGTCCTGGCTGATTGAGTGTGGGAGAGGAACGGGCATTGTTTGACTGGGATTGCCTGTAATTGAGAGGAAGTGGAAGGGGCATTGTTTTGCCTGTGATTGAGTGCCTGGGTGAATTTGAATTTGAATAGCTGCTGCCTGACCTCTGCTGGGGGAGGCCTCTATTTAAGGAAGCACCTTGCCAGAGGCAGAGGAGACCAGCTGAGCTCTGAGCAGGAGCAGGAGAGAGAGCTGTGAGAGAGGTGAGTGGGTTTCTTTTACTTGCTTTCAGCTGAGAGAATTCAGCTAAGGATATTTTGTGGGAAAACTGTGTTTAGCAGTGTGTGGAAGCACTTAGAGTTCTTGCAGAGTCCTGGCTGATTGAGTGTGGGAGAGGAACGGGCATTGTTTGACTGGGATTGCCTGTAATTGAGAGGAAGTGGAAGGGGCATTGTTTTGCCTGTGATTGAGTGCCTGGGTGAATTTGAATTTGAATAGCTGCTGCCTGACCTCTGCTGGGGGAGGCCTCTATTTAAGGAAGCACCTTGCCAGAGGCAGAGGAGACCAGCTGAGCTCTGAGCAGGAGCAGGAGAGAGAGCTGTGAGAGAGGTGAGTGGGTTTCTTTTACTTGCTTTCAGCTGAGAGAATTCAGCTAAGGATATTTTGTGGGAAAACTGTGTTTAGCAGTGTGTGGAAGCACTTAGAGTTCTTGCAGAGTCCTGGCTGATTGAGTGTGGGAGAGGAACGGGCATTGTTTGACTGGGATTGCCTGTAATTGAGAGGAAGTGGAAGGGGCATTGTTTTGCCTGTGATTGAGTGCCTGGGTGAATTTGAATTTGAATAGCTGCTGCCTGACCTCTGCTGGGGGAGGCCTCTATTTAAGGAAGCACCTTGCCAGAGGCAGAGGAGACCAGCTGAGCTCTGAGCAGGAGCAGGAGAGAGAGCTGTGAGAGAGGTGAGTGGGTTTCTTTTACTTGCTTTCAGCTGAGAGAATTCAGCTAAGGATATTTTGTGGGAAAACTGTGTTTAGCAGTGTGTGGAAGCACTTAGAGTTCTTGCAGAGTCCTGGCTGATTGAGTGTGGGAGAGGAACGGGCATTGTTTGACTGGGATTGCCTGTAATTGAGAGGAAGTGGAAGGGGCATTGTTTTGCCTGTGATTGAGTGCCTGGGTGAATTTGAATTTGAATAGCTGCTGCCTGACCTCTGCTGGGGGAGGCCTCTATTTAAGGAAGCACCTTGCCAGAGGCAGAGGAGACCAGCTGAGCTCTGAGCAGGAGCAGGAGAGAGAGCTGTGAGAGAGGTGAGTGGGTTTCTTTTACTTGCTTTCAGCTGAGAGAATTCAGCTAAGGATATTTTGTGGGAAAACTGTGTTTAGCAGTGTGTGGAAGCACTTAGAGTTCTTGCAGAGTCCTGGCTGATTGAGTGTGGGAGAGGAACGGGCATTGTTTGACTGGGATTGCCTGTAATTGAGAGGAAGTGGAAGGGGCATTGTTTTGCCTGTGATTGAGTGCCTGGGTGAATTTGAATTTGAATAGCTGCTGCCTGACCTCTGCTGGGGGAGGCCTCTATTTAAGGAAGCACCTTGCCAGAGGCAGAGGAGACCAGCTGAGCTCTGAGCAGGAGCAGGAGAGAGAGCTGTGAGAGAGGTGAGTGGGTTTCTTTTACTTGCTTTCAGCTGAGAGAATTCAGCTAAGGATATTTTGTGGGAAAACTGTGTTTAGCAGTGTGTGGAAGCACTTAGAGTTCTTGCAGAGTCCTGGCTGATTGAGTGTGGGAGAGGAACGGGCATTGTTTGACTGGGATTGCCTGTAATTGAGAGGAAGTGGAAGGGGCATTGTTTTGCCTGTGATTGAGTGCCTGGGTGAATTTGAATTTGAATAGCTGCTGCCTGACCTCTGCTGGGGGAGGCCTCTATTTAAGGAAGCACCTTGCCAGAGGCAGAGGAGACCAGCTGAGCTCTGAGCAGGAGCAGGAGAGAGAGCTGTGAGAGAGGTGAGTGGGTTTCTTTTACTTGCTTTCAGCTGAGAGAATTCAGCTAAGGATATTTTGTGGGAAAACTGTGTTTAGCAGTGTGTGGAAGCACTTAGAGTTCTTGCAGAGTCCTGGCTGATTGAGTGTGGGAGAGGAACGGGCATTGTTTGACTGGGATTGCCTGTAATTGAGAGGAAGTGGAAGGGGCATTGTTTTGCCTGTGATTGAGTGCCTGGGTGAATTTGAATTTGAATAGCTGCTGCCTGACCTCTGCTGGGGGAGGCCTCTATTTAAGGAAGCACCTTGGCAGAGGCACGAGCCTCTGGCACGAGCCGAAGGGTGAGCTAAAGGGCTCTTTGCCTGTGGCTCTTAGCCTAGGGACTCTTAGACTAGGGGCGCTGTAAGAAGCCCAAAAAGAGCCAGAAAGACAAGGCCCTAGGCTCTTTGTCTTTCCCGTAAAATAATTTGACTTGATAACAAAACCCACATAAATACCAAGGGTTTAAAAGGGGGATTATATTTATTTATTTTAAAAGAATTATGAAGCCAGAATGCCAGCAGGGGGTTGGGGGCTATCCAGTGTTTTGCACGGAGTGTCACATGTATGACTATCTGCCCACTGGGCAGAAGTCTTGGGTGTGTCCTCGGTGCAAGGAGCTCCTGGTTCTCAGGGAACGTGTGTGCTCCCTTGAGGCCAAGGTGGCTGACCTGGAGAAGCAGAGACAGTCAGCTAGGCACACAGAAAAGACTCTCGGGGACTTGTTAGCTTCGTCCCACTCTGGATCTGGCAGCCCCGCTGCTGTCAGGGAGCATGAGGGTCTAGGGGAAACAGGGCACCATGCTGAGGATAAGGGGAATGTGCCCTCAGAAGGGACCTCTTCCCCAGCTGGTGAGCGGCTCTCCTTTTGCACCAAGGAACCATCCCTGAGCAGGGTGGGAGGGGGGCTCTTGGTAGTGGGTGATTCGATCCTTAGGCAGGTAGACAGCTGGGTGGCGAACCCGCGTACTGACCGTATGGTGACTTGCCTGCCTGGTGCGAAGGTAGCGGACATTACGCGTGTTTTAGATAGGCTGGTAGATAGTGCTGGGGAGGAGCCAGTGGTCGTGGTGCATGTCGGCACCAACGATGTGGGGAAATGCAGTCGTGAGGTCCTGGAGGAGAAATTTAGGCTGCTGGGCAGGAAACTTAGGTCCAGGACCTCCAAGGTAGCCTTCTCAGAAGTGTTACCTGTTCCACGCGCAGGGCCGGAGAGACAGGCAGAGATCAGGAGTCTCAATGCGTGGATGAGACGATGGTGTAGGGGGGAAGGGTTCAGGTTTGTTAGGCACTGGGATACTTTTTGGAACAAGAGGGAGCTGTACAGGCGAGACGGTCTCCACTTGTCCCGAGAAGGAACCAGGCTGCTGGCACTTAAAATCAAAAAGGTGGCAGAGCAGCTTTTAAACTGAATATTGGGGGAAAGCCGACAGGAGATGAAAAGTCTCTGGTTCGGGTTGGCTCATCTGAGAGAGGTGAGGGGGTACCGGTTGCTTTTCTACAGGGAGGTGGATTGAAATTGTCCACAGAGGCCATGGCTGGTGACATGGACTGCCGGACAACGACTCGAGATAGCAAGAGGAAGGATGCAGGCTTAACTTGTAAGGGAAATTACAGCTGTTTCTATACAAATGCTAGAAGTGTCCGAGGTAAAATCGGGGAGTTGGAGTGCTTGGTGTCGGAGGGAAAAATAGACATTGTGGGTATTTCTGAAACTTGGTGGGATGAGGAAAATCAGTGGGACACAGTGATTCCCGGTTATATATTATATCGGAAGGATAGGGGGGGAAGGGTTGGAGGTGGGGTAGCTCTGTATGTCAGAGAGGGTATAAAGTCTAGAAAGATTGAGAGGCTAAGTGAATTGGATTCGCTTCTGGAAGTTCTATGGGTTGAAATAGGGGGGCCAAAAGGAAACTTAACACTGGGAGTTTGTTATCGCCCACCAGATCAAAAGATAGAGGAGGATTATAAAATGATGAATGCCTTAAAGATAGCAACTAGACAAAAACACTGTGTAATAATAGGTGATTTTAACTACCCACACATTGATTGGGTCAATATGTGTTCTAGCCGGGAAAAAGAGATTGAGTTTCTAGACACTCTAAATGACTGTGCTATGGAGCAGATGGTCACGGAACCTACCAGGGGAGAGGCGATCCTTGATTTGGTCCTAAGTAACACTCAAGACCTGGTGAGAGATGTAAAAGTGATTGCACCGCTTGGAAACAGTGATCATAATGTTGTTGAGTTCATCATTTGTACAAATAGAGAATTGGCCAAAAAGACTCACACAACCATTTTTAACTTTAAAAGGGGTAATTTCTCTGATATGAGGGGACACGTGGGGAGGAAACTGAAAGGAAAAGTAGAAAGGGTCAAAACAATTGGGGAAGCTTGGGATCTATTTAAAACTACGATCCTAGAAGCTCAAAAAATATATATTCCGCAGGTTAGGAAAGGCACAAACAGGTATAGGAAAAAGCCTGCATGGTTAACAAACAGAGTAATGGAGGCTGTAAAAAGTAAAAAGAATTCCTTTAAGCAGTGGAAAGCTAGTCACAGTGAGGCTGATAAAACGGAACACAGGCTATGGCAAATAAAATGCAAGTCTGAGGTCAGGCAGGCAAAAAGGGAATATGAGGAGCATATAGCAAAAAATGTAAAGACCAACAATAAAACTTTCTTCAAATACATTAGAAACAGGAAACCAGCCAGGGAGGCAGTGGGGCCCTTGGATGACCAAGGGGTAAAAGGAGTACTGAAGGATGATAGGGAAATGGCTGAGAAGCTAAATGCATTTTTTGCCTCCGTCTTCACTGTGGAAGATGAGAAGTGCTTGCCCACTCCAGAACCACTGATTTCAGGAGGGGTGTTGGAAGACCTGAGTCAGATTGAGGTGACGAGAGAGGAGGTCCTAAAACTGATAGACAACTTAAAAACTGATAAATCACCAGGCCCAGATGGCATACATCCGAGAGTTCTGAAAGAACTCAAATGTGAACTTGTAGATCTCCTGACAAAGATATGTAATCTTTCCTTAAAATCTGCCTCCATTCCTGAGGATTGGAAGGTAGCTAATGTCACTCCCATCTTTAAAAAGGGTTCCAGAGGAGATCCGGGAAATTACAGGCCAGTCAGTCTGACGTCGATACCGGGTAAATTGGTGGAAACCATTATTAAGGAAAGAATTAGTAGGCACATAGATGAACAAAACCTATTGAGGCAGACTCAGCACGGTTTCTGTAAGGGAAGATCTTGTCTCACTAACCTGTTAGTGTTCTTTGAGGGGGTGAACAAACATGTGGACAAGGGGGATCCAATAGATATTGTTTACCTTGACTTCCAGAAAGCTTTTGATAAAGTTCCTCATCAAAGGCTCCTAAGCAAGCTCAAAAATCATGGGATAAAAGGACAAGTCCTTTTATGGATCAAAAACTGGCTAATTAATAGAAAACAGAGAGTGAGTATAAATGGGCAGTTCTCCCAGTGGAGGGGTGTAAGCAGTGGGGTACCACAGGGATCAGTACTTGGTCCACTGCTTTTTAACTTGTTCATTAATGATTTGGAGATGGGAGTAAGCAGTGAAGTGGCTAAATTTGCGGATGATACGAAGTTGTTCAGGGTGGTGAAAACCAGTGAGGATTGTGAGGCACTCCAAAGGGATCTGTCAAAGTTGGGCGAGTGGGCGTCAACATGGCAAATGGGGTTCAATGTGGCCAAGTGCAAGGTGATGCACATTGGAGCCAAAAATCCTAACTATAAATACACGTTGATGGGGTCTGAACTGGCAGAGACAGATCAAGAGAGAGATCTTGGAGTTGTAGTAGATAACTCACTGAAAATGTCGAGACAGTGTGTGACTGCAATAAAGAAGGCCAATGCTATGCTGGGGATTATTAGGAAGGGTATTGAAAACAGATCAGCCAATATAATAATGCCCCTATATAAATCAATGGTGAGACCTCATTTGGAATACTGTGTGCAGTTCTGGTCACCACACCTTAAAAAGGATATTATAGCTTTGGAAAAAGTGCAGAAAAGAGCAACTCGAATGATAAAAGGGTTGGAACACTTTCCCTATGAGGAACGGTTAAGGCGCTTAGGGCTCTTTAGCTTGGAGAAACGACGACTGAGGGGTGACATGATTGAGGTTTATAAGATTATGCATGGGAAAGAGCAGGTAGAGAAAGAGGTACTTTTCTCCCTTTCTCACAATACAAGAACCCGTGGGCACTCCATGAAATTGCTGAGCGGTCGGGTTAGAACGGATAAGAGGAAGTACTTCTTCACCCAAAGAGTGATTAACACTTGGAATTCACTGCCACAGGAAGTGGTGGCGGCTACAAGCATGGACGGCTTCAAGAGGGAATTAGATAAGCATATGGAGCAGAGGTCCATCAGTGGCTATTAGCCACAAGGTATAGATAGGGACTCTGGGGCAAGTGATGCTCTGTCATCTTGGTGCTTGGGGGGGGTCAACAGTGGGAGGGCTTCTAATGTCCTGGCCCCACTGGTGGACCTCCTGATGGCACTGGTATTTCTGGCCACTGTGGGATACAGAGTGTTGGACTGGATGGGCCTTTGGCCTGATCCAACATTGGCATCTCTTATGTTCTTATGTTCTTATGTTCTGTGAAGCAGGTGGGGCTGAAAGAGTTCTGAAAGAACTGTGAGTGGCCCAAGGTCACCCAGCAGGCCTCATGTGTCTCAAAGTGGCTTATAATTGCCTTCCCTTCCTATCCCCACAACAGGCACCTTGTGAGGTAGGTGGGGCTGAGAGAGCTCTGAGAGAACTGTGACTGACCCAAGGTCACCCAGCTGGCTGCATGTGGAAGAGTGGGGAATCAAACCCAGTTCTCCAAATTAGAGTCTGCTGCTCTAAACCACTACACCAAGCATGTATGCATACAAGATATTGCCCTTGCGAGTCTACTCACTGTTGTAATGTTCCCTCATGTATTAGCTTTTTTCAAATGTAAAAACAAAACTAAACTAAAAAAGGGTTTTCCTTCTCTCAGCTAGCTTTTATTTTTTTCCTCCCTATCTGGTAGGAATCGTGTACATGTGCATCAATAACCCACACATGTACTCAATTAATTTCATGCTGCACATCTCTCCCAATCAGTTCATAAAGTCAGTCTTTAAAAACATTTTTACTTGTGTGATTTAAAAGCCAAGATTCTCCCAAGAGTTGGGGGGGGGGGAACTCTGGAGACTAGAAAAACAGATACTTCAAGCAGGGCTCTACTACTTTTTGCTACACCAATCCTCACCAGGGAACTAATAATACTTTGTATTATCTTCTTGTAAGTAGGTTTCACAGCCATTTGCGGATTGGGAAGAACCGAGGAAACTCATCTGAGAAACAGAAGAAAAGAACAAATCCAGAAGAAGAAAAATCATTCCATTTTTAAAATGAGAAGATATATGGGCATTCTTTTAGCCTTGCCCACTGCCTGCGAAAGGGAACTGGCCTGGGCAAGATCTAGAGAAAAAGCCAGCCGGATCTAACCCTTTATAAGAACACAGCCTGAAAATTCATGGGGAAATAGTTCCTTCTGCATTTTGTTCTATGATCTGTCAGTAACATGCCAGATAACTGCTCCACTTCCTGTGCCCCTCCCCCATTATTATTTCATTACAAAATAGCCTTGGCGTATGCCATGTTTAGTTTTGGCAAATGCCACACACAAGGGTTCGTTTTTTAATATTATTTCACTTCTCCTTCAATATTCTAAGCTGGAAGTGTACATTTATAAAAACAAAACACCTGAATTTTGTGCCAAATACACTCATTCACTCTCTTTTTCAAGGACATCCCAGACCCCCTTGCTCTGGCAAACAATGACTTAGCCTACTGTGGCCCATGTGTTCGGAAGTGGCTTCTCACAGGCATGCAAATACGGGGAGACTTTGGAGTTAAAATTACAGAACAATCTATGTCTGTACAGAAAATATTTTTTTCCAGTTTGAATGAACACTGGATTTATTTTTAAAAGGCTTTATTTCATCAATTTAATCTCTTCTTTTTCAATTTAGTAGGTTTTAAACGTCATTTGATAATGATAAAAGTAAAACGATAAGGCTACAAGAGGCTTTTGCTGCCACTAAGAATTATTCCAAGCTTCAATATTTTGGTATCAAGTGGAATAACTGTTACTATATATTTCCAATTAGGGAACTGGTTTTACACCAGCTGGTGTTCATTGTGGGGGAGTCAATTACTGATCAAGAAAGTTCCACCTGGTAAATAAAAACAGATTTTTACCTTACAGGTCTTTCACAGACGGACTTGTTAGATTCTAGGTCAGTCAAAAACGAAAGCCATTTAGATCATGAACATGAGGGGTGTGACTAGGGAGTTGTTGCTTTAAACTATGAAGAAACTATCCATGGTGAATATTTTCCAGATCTTGGAAAACTCCCCCCCCCCTTCAGCAATATCTATTCACCTCAGACATTTCAACCCACATCCTGCCTTGTATAGTATCCTCCCTATAATTCACACAGGATGGCTGTTTCCCTCACCTCAGGACTCAGGCTTGCCCTGCCGTTGAGGCCTCAAATTTCTTCTTGCGCCCCTCCATGCCACTCAGCGCATCAATGTTCTTCCTCCAGTCACCCACTTCCCGATTCTCCTGTGGGAACGATGGAGAGAAAGTGTTGTGAGAACAGCAGCTGAAGTCAGCCTACAGTGGGAAAGTGGCACCCGACCCTCTCGCAACTCCACATGAAGAGGGAAATCTCCTCAGAATGGCAGAAGGACAGTGCAGCAGCTGTTGCCATGACAGAAGCCATCGAGCTCCAAAGTCAGCGTAAGTGCCACATACAGATCAGTGACATCTTTAGACACCCATTCTAAGTAGGTCTGCTCAGAATCCTACTCAGGCCTATGAAGTGGATGAAGTGGGACTGACTCTAAGGAAAGAATTCTTGGAATTGCAATGAGCATTCTTAAGTCGGTATGCTGAGAATCCTGTTCAGGCTGACTTCAATGCTGGCTGAAGGGAAGCTGTGAAGGCATCTCAGTGGTGCTCTGCAGAAATTCACTGCACTTTTTAACAGGCTCCTAATTCCTAACTAAGGAGCTGCGGTGGCTCAAGTGGTTAAGACGCTGAACTGCAAGCTGTGGAAGGTCGGTAGTTTGGCAGTTTGAGACCCGAGTGCGCCGCATGACAGAGTGAGCTCCCGTCTTTAGTTCCAGCTCCTGCCAACCAAGCAGTTCGAAAGCAAGAAAATGCAAGTAGATAAATAGGTACCACTTCAGTGGGAAGGTAACAGCGTTCCGTGCACCTTGGTGTTTAGTCATGCTGGCCACATGACCACGGAAACGTCTTCAGACAGCGCCGGCTCTTCGGCTTTGAAACGGAAATGAGCACCGCAACCCTAGAGTCGGATTCGACTGGCTTTAGAGCAAGAGAACCTTTACCTTTACTTTAATTCTGAATTAAGCAAGAGCTCAAGGGCTGGCAACATGGACCCGGCCTATTGACTCTCACACAGGCCTAGACTTGGGGGGCATACTAGGCCTCCAACTTTTCAAACCCAAGAGGCACATTTAATCCCAAAGTACACATAATGGCAGCCAGGGATCGGCACCACTTCCCAACTCCCAGTTACTCCTCTACTCAAAATCGAAATCACCTGAGACTGTTCTTTATGGGGAAACCCCACAGATGGGGCTTGGTTGCCTGTGGAATTTGTAGCAGACACCAAAGGCCTTTTCCCCTGAGCCCTAATCTCTCACTGACAACAGCCACAGAGGATGAAAGTTCTCCCTTTTGCTTCATGTTCCCCTACAAGCAGCTGAAGAGCAGAATAGGATTCTCAATATACCAAACCGGGTTTGGCCAGCTACTGCACAATCAACAGTTCTAGC